AAAATAAATTTTATAATGTAATTCAAATATTTCTTAGCAATCGGGACAAATTTATATCAATAGTCGATAATATCACTGCTCTGCAATTGTTCAAGCTCCCGGGACTTCTTTGAAAATTTACTCTACTAGGTTTGATCATTTTCCATTTTCATTTGCTTTTGTTTGAGAATGGCGGGAAATAAAATCGATTAGGACCGAGCCTCATTCATCATTTGCAAGGCGTGCAAACCAATCGACTCGGTCCTCTTTTTTTTTTTTTGTCGGAAAGATGCAAAGTGATTGGCTGTGCCGCGTCGCCAGTCGCGCAATATTATCGCGCGCGACGCATTTGCGAAATTCCATGAGGTTTCCCATCTCGATTTAGAACGTTCGATGGCTTCCGCATCGAGGGGATGAGCTCTTCTCGTCTCGGTTCGAATGATTTATTCGTTTGTTCCACGTATGAACAAGTGCGAAATACTCGACGGCTGAGGCGTCGATAACGAGACCGAGCTGCAGCCGTCGCCGATCGTAAAGGGGAGACTCCGTGCGCGCACGTCGGGATCATTAGTGTAATGTACACGAGCGTTCTCTTGATACGCGAACCGCAGAGCTGAGCGCCGAGTCGAGACGATCGGGAAATTTCTCAGTGCTCGACAACACGACGACGACGGCGAGGACGGCGGTGACGGCGCTGTGCGTAGCCAGTGATGTGATGTAAATAAACGCGATCGGTAGGTCGAGTAGCTGACAACCCCGCGATATTCCCGCAGTCGATGCGCGCTCGCGCAAAATAGAAATTGCGTGATATATATATATATATATATATATATATCGACGCGACTAACTACTCGCGCGCGCGCACGCACGCACGCACGCATACATACACAACACATACATACATACACCACACACACACACGTATCATACACGTATAACAATTTCCGCGCGCGCGCGCAGCCACGGAGCTCGCGAAGAGCGAGAGCGAAGAATTTTCTTTTCTCCAACACACATACACACGCGCGCGCGCACGCATACACACACACACGTTCTCCCGCGTGCGTGTCCCTTGGTGCTCCGTCGTTCGCGCACAGCGAGGATCCAGCCGACTATTCGGGGCTGATCCTCGGTCCCGTGTTTTGTTTCTCGCACGTATGAGCGTACTCGACAGTACGATGTTTCGCGCGTCGCACGGTTTGTGAAGAGGATCCGACAGAATCTCCACGGATTCCCTCGTCCCCGTTTTGGGCTCGACGGGAGGCGTGTGCAAAAACAAGAAGAACAAGAAGAAGACACGTTTTCTAATCAAGAGGAAGCAAGCAGCGAGGGAGTTCCTTTTTATCCCGCGGCGATCCTAACCGAGCTGAGCTCGCAGGCATCGAGAGATATAAAGCACGGTTCGAGAACGTCGAGGACATCTCTCTCCCTCTCCCTCTCCTTCTTCCTTCCGCCTTGTGAATCGCGCGCGAACGGCATCGCAGGATGGCATCGTCCACGGTGGCCGTTCCGTCCGGAGCCACCTCGGTGCCGACGGTTACGAATGGTAGTAGCAGCAACGGTAACAGCAGTAGCAGCAGTAGCAGTAGCAACGGTTGCATCGTCGCCACGGCCGGTACCGAGGAGATCGACGGTGGCGATATATTCGGCGAGCGAAGTAACGTCAACTCCGTCGGCGGCTACAACAATAGCGGCAATCCTGGCGATGCCCTGGAGGAAATTGCGTGCGGCAATGGAGAGGCCAACAATCAGGGATGTGCCCTCTGCATGAGTAAGCTCTGCTCGCCCAGGGTGCTCTCCTGCCTGCATGTGTTCTGTGAAGCTTGTCTGGACAAGTTGCTCATGGACGAGGCTGGAGACTCAAAGGTGGGTTCAGTCATAAGCTGTCCCATATGCCATCAAGAGACTTCCGTTAGTTCTAAAGGCGCTGCATCGCTCATGTGCGATTATGTTCTCACCAATATATTGGATATGTCCGCTATCGAGAACATGGCAGTACTGTGTACCTCCTGTAAGGCCAAAGAGAACGCCGTGGCACGCTGCTCTGATTGCGCCAATTTCCTGTGCCCAAATTGCAACACGGCGCATCAGTTTATGCGCTGCTTCGAGCATCACAAAGTAGTTGCCTTTGAAGATTTGAAGCAATCCAACGAAGCTATCCCAATACATAAACCAATATTTTGCGAGTATCATCCTGCTGAGAATATGAAGTTCTATTGTCATACGTGCCAGGTAAGTGAAAAGCAGATCATCTTCTGATATTTCTATGTATTAATGTATTAATTGATGTTTTTTTTAATAAATATTTGAATATGAACAAACTTTTCAAGATACAATTGCAAATATATTTAATTCTATGTTACTTCAAAAATATATTTTTTTTTATATAGAAAAATATGTTCATGGTAAATTTCATTTTTAACTTATTTAATCTATATATCCTATCACTTTATTGTGAGATAAAAATATTAACCTTTTTAAATTTATTTTTTTGCATATATTTATATATCATGCTTTAAATATTTACATTAATGATTATGTTATTAATAAAGTTGAAGTAAGAAGTAATAAATTGTATTATTAGGAACCTACTTGCAATGAGTGTCTACTTGTGGAGCATAAAGCACCAGAGCATCAATACGAACGACTGACAGATGCAGAACCACGCCAGAAGGAGGAAATAATTAATCTGATGACTGAAAGTAAAACAAAAATTGCTGAATGTGATCAGGTTACAGTACAACTGGAAAATGCACTCAGCGAGCTGCAAGTACAACATGATCAAGCAAAAGATTTAATTATAGAGACTTTTCAAAGTTACAAAGCTATACTGGAGAAATGTAAAGACAATGCGTTAGCCGAACTTGAAAAATTGCATTCAAACAGAGAACTTGAAATCATGGATGCTTTTCATAGGTATACATATTTAATTATTTATGCATAAAAACTTGAATAATTAAATTCTAGAAAAGAGAATACTTGCATTAAAAAAAAAAATAGAACATAATTTTTAAGTAGTTGCATTTGCTGAAAAGTAAAATTATCTCATCAATAGGGAGACATCTGATCATTTTATGTAAATATATGTTGTCATATTTATTACAGTGTTGAAAAAACCGCAGAAAAGATAGAAGATGCTTGTCGTTTTACCTCGAGACTTTTAGAACACGGCGACGCAGTGGAAATCTTAGCACTTCGACGTATTGTAGGAGCGCAATTGATGAATTTAATAAAAAATATGCCAAAACATAATGTAACATTCTCTATCGAATTTCAAACCGATTATAATCAATTTGAAAAAACTGTAAAGGTATAAATATGCATAATTAGCAATATCCTATATCTATAAGAATATATTCTAATTTATATATTTCTTATTCAATATATAAAAAATTATTACAGGAAGTATTTGGAAAATTTCATACTGAAAGTACATTAGAAGTGAAAAATCTTCCCGAACCAATTTCAACATCAGGTGTCTCTACAAATCAACAAATTGTTCATACCACCTCAATGGGTTGTCCTAGTTCTATCAGCACAAGTTCTCCTATTTCACTTCCTACATCTATGCAATCCTCTTTTGAAGGTGAACCTTCGTTCGTCATACCACCGACCTCGAGTCCTCAAAATATTCCACCTCCTCCACCACCTGTATCTCTTCCACCAGGTACGGTTCCTATCCATGGATTGACTAGTATTCAAGAATATAATCTACAACAACTGGCCAGCTTAGCAGAGAAGGTAGAGATGGTGGGCGACACTGGTGTAGTTGGACCTAGCTCAAATCCTAGTCCAACTCCGTCCTTTACTTTGGCAGACTTGTTTGCTGGAGACTTAAACCTAAGTTCAACGAGCCATGCTATTAATAATTTGCAAGCTCTTGCAAAATTAGGAAATACTCTTGGCAATCAAGGTAAGAAATATAATATTAAAAGTTAATGAGCCTTTACTTTAATAATATCCTTCAATGCCCTCCACTCTCTTATTTCTTCCAGACATAATCCCACACATTTCCAGATTTTCCCACAGATTCACAGGTATCTTGAGAGCTATTGGTTCATGTTTTCAGTTCTAAAAATCTTATTTACTTTTTGTCATTATTAATTGTTTTTACATAATTATTTTCGTTACAATTGGAAATTTTTTGTTTTACGCAACTTTTAATTTCTGTT